ATCCCCTCAACAAACATCCATTATTCAACTCTACCTGTTCGTTATACTCGGACAGGCACGACACATACTAAGTCTTTTCATGTTCTGGGAACAAGATATTGCTCGTCTCTTACTGATCCTTCATGCTGAAATTCAATTATAGGCAAGTCTGCCACCTTCCACTGGGTGAAACTCAGTGTTGTGATTTGGGAGGGTCAGCGAACCTGTCCTTCAGTCCCCAGCTGCACATTCAGGTTGAATCCTTGGCCATATTTGGCTCTGCCTACTGGAGTCTCAGGGCCAACTGTGAGCCTGCCCAGCTTCCTACAGGGCACTGGATTAAGCGCCTACTTCTAGCGGCAGCCTGATATTTCCCCCAAGGGCAAGCTTTTGGCATCCTACTGGGCTCTTTCAGAAGCCAAGACCCTAACAGAACTCCCCAACACACAAGTCCCTGTAACGCCCTGAGTGACCAACGCCTCCCAGCAGAAGCTCGGAGGCCACTGATGCCTGTTGGTAAAATGTAAAGCCTACCTTCAGGTACAGTTGAAACTGACATCAAAGTCTTTTCCAAAATTCCAGGAGGATGTGGTTTCCCCTACACTTAGCTCCTGGCCTGAGATCCTTGAGGAAGTAAGAGCCTCTGCTATCTCTCACCCTGGTTACTTGGGGAGATTCTTGGAACAAACTCTCTAAGATGGGCAGGAGTCAGTGTCCCTCTTAGGTGGCAATGCCACCATTGTGCACAATGCAGCTCATTGGAGGTCCTTGGCAGCCCACTGGCTCCAAGCGCTTCACTGGCCGAGGGCCTTCCAGCTCAGCCCAGCTGGGAACTCGAAGCTGTCCACCTAGGCCTTACAGAGGCCATAACACAGAGCCTTTCACAGATGCACACTTTCACAGATCCCTGGCCAGTAGCTAACAGCCTTGCCATTTGGTATGGACAGAGGCTAAGGGAAATTTTCTCGCATGAGGCAAGCCCATTTGGGGTGGCCAGTTGTGGATGGGATTATCAGAGTCCCCAACTTCTGTTATTGTTGCTCATGGCTCCACACACACAAGCTGTTGCTGGGAATATGGCAGACCCCTCACCAAGCCCTCTACACGTTGCTCGGAGCAGACTCCTCAGGGTATCGACTCTTCCACCAGCTCCCAAAATTGGCCCACAAGACCTTGGGTCACCAGGGAATTCAGGCCTTGACAATCTGGGCTCAAGCGAGGGGACTCTGTCTCCCCTCAGCAGCACTAAAAGTTGTGACAGACTATTGCATTTTCTGTTTCCAAACCAAACGATGGAAGCTGTCCTGAGGGGGCACTCTCTCCGGGGAGACCCATCATACAAGTGCTGGCAGACTGAATGCCCTGGCCCACTGCCCCCCACTGCAGTCATCAGCACTGATGCAGGACTCTTCCAGGCAAGCCCACCCAGAATCCCTCCTCACAACAGGTCATCTCACTAAACATGCTGCTGTCCCTTTTGTGCTGCACACATTGCTGACTCTGACCGGAGACCCACCTTACTTCTCAGGAGACTCAACATAAGAGTCCTTGTCATTCCCATGGAGCCTACCATCCCAGGGTACTGGCTTCAGGCATCACAATGGCCTTTTTAAAGAGGCACCGCCTAAATTACCAGCAGCAAAGTGGTCCCAAAATTAATCAAACTTACCCCAGGCCCTGGTCTTACTTAATTCTTGTCCCTTAGCCTTTATAACCCACATACCAATTGTTCTACATCTCAAAATCTCACTTTTGGTCATTTCTGTCAATGCTCATATTCTCACTCTCCAAGACAATGTTTTGTTTTGTTTTTTTTTATTTTGCCCTCTGATTCCACTTTCCCCATACAACCTCCAGGCCAAGGAGATCTAGGAAAATAAGCTCACCTGTGGAAAATTTGGAACACAGCTACTCCTAATTTGGTGTCTTCCAGGAATCAGGAAAGTCCCGTTTTCCCATGGTGGCTTCCCTTTGTACAGTCCCCAGACCAGGGCTGTCCTGCATCTACAGGTGATGTGACAATGACAGGCCCAGAGGGAGCTGAGCTGACAACATCCGTTTCTTGTGATAATGGTTTGAGGCTTCATCTCACATCCACAGACTCATCCCAAAGACTCGGCTGGATGAGTGTCTGCCATTGGGCTCTGCTAACTGTGAGTACTCTGGATGTGGGTGGGCAGTAGGGTGAGGCAGGATTTCCTCAGTAAAGTGTTATGGGAACTGGAATAGTTTCATTCTCATAACTCAGTGAACCACAGCTAAATACAGTAGATGTTTCCAGATGAGAAAACCAATTTCATAGATCTTATAAGATCATGTTTGTATGTTTTTGAAAGTAATTAATATTTTTATGATACCATATTTGAAGTGGAATTGTTTGACTTTTTTACTGTTTTATTGCTTTTTTGCATTTTATCTTACAGTATGTACTTAGATGAAATTTTATCTTTTAAAATTTATCTTTTAAAATACAAATCATTTGAACTACTGCAAAATCACTCAGTCACACTCTTGCGCTCTTTTCATTTTTGACATATTAGGATATTTATAATATTTTAGGACTGTTTAAAATTATATCCTAAAAACATGAAATGTGTATAACATTTTACATTAATTAGATTTTCTCATGTTATAGCCGCCAGCCCCTGATAGACACATGGACCACCAGAAATCAGTGAGTTATAGGAAACACACTCTTTATTCAGCCAGCTGGGTCTGCCAGGGGTACGCAGACCACAAATTAAGCAACCCCGAAATGTAGAGGTACAGGGTTTTTAAGCCCTAACCCTCCATTCTTCATCCTGTTTGAACACACAAGTCTATTTTTCTTCTTTTTACTAACTGTCAACCCACAGGTCGGTTGTGCAAGTGGGGTACAGAATCAGAAAGCTTATTGTTAGAGCATTATGTTCCCATGGGCAATAGCCAAGCAGTAATTTTTCAGCCAGCACAATCAGATGAACATAAATATTTTGTTTTATTCTGTTATAATGATTCCTACTAGAGGATTTGTGTCTGGTTACCATAATACTATCTGAACATATCAACTTCTACCCTATTTGAAAGTCACAGCAACCCATATTATTAAGAAAACCTCTCATTTTCTATCTCTTCTGTCTTTGAAAGTTTCCATTTATAATTTGCTTAACAAAATTTGTATTTGCAAATGTGGCAAACATCTTTCAGTTTTGATGTTGAGATTGACAACTTAAAGCTGTATGAATTCAGTAGGGATTGTGCTTTTTAATGTCCATGTTCTTTAAAAGGAAAGAGAGAAATGGAACCAGATTTGGTTAAATATAGAAAAGAAAAAATAATGGTGAAGTTATTGTCCATTTTGACCCATGAAAACATCGAACCCTCAAGAAACTTGATCAGCAGAAAACCTCTCTGTTTCTGAATACTAGAAAAATTTAAATTTGTTTTCAGAGCCAACATGTTGAAGTCCAACTCCATTCGTTTAGGGAGGATAATGTCAGAGAGAAGAGAGCAAAGACACTGATCAGCAGAGGGCACAGAGAGCATGTTGTTCCCAATCCCAGTGTCTACACAGCCCTCAAAGTCCAATGTTTGACCATTGAGCATATGACTCAATGTGGCATGGGCATGACTGTGAGGCAGGACAGGCAAATTCTATAGTAGAGGGAGCTCAAGCCCTGCAGTGAGAAAGAGCTCTTGACTGAGCACAAGAAAGAATTCAAGTGCACACTGGTATTAGAGTCAAAAAAAAAAAAAAAAAGTTTACTGGAGACAAGGTAGCTCCATAGACAGAGCATTTAGTGAGAAAAGGGAAGAATATGTAGAGTGAAAGGCCTGCTGGCAGTTCCCAGCCTGTGATCCATAGGTTCCCTATGGTTTTAGCCCTAGGTAATGAATGATTTTATTTGTGTAGGGAGCCACTTAAAGACTCTGTTTTCCTGTTTCCCCTTCAGGATGTGGGGAATGGATTGTTAGTAATCCCAGTAGAAACCTTCCTTTGTTCTGTAGGTGTCCTCCTGGCCTGGCTGCAGGGCTGATCAGCACATTGCTGATCATGATTGATTATGGCTTGATTAACATTTGAATTCTCTTGCCTCCTCCTTACATTAGGGGGATTATCTCTGTTATTACAGACTTATGTATTTTTCAAGCTTGGGAGAGTGTTGTGATAGTAAGTAAAATATCAAAAAAAGGATCACTGTGTGAACATTTTGGTGCAATGTCACAGATGTCATAAAGAGGATGAAAGTTGTCTTTTTTCTGCTCATAACTGAGGGTTGGTGAGAAAGCCCCTTCTAGGGTGGAGGGAGTCTACCTGTGGGGGTCCCTCTGATGCAAACTAAACTGGGAGAGTCAGCAACATTTAGAAGATGGTTAAAACATGTGGTACACACAAAATGCAGTCCAAAGGTGTCCATACCCCAATCCCTACATACTGCGAATATGTCGTTTCATAGAAAGAGAAAGTAACTTTGCAGATGGAATCGGGTTTACTTATCTGCTGGTTTAAATTAGGGAAGTTATCTGTATTATCAGGGATGAGGGCAGTATCATCACAGAGGTCCATAAGTGTGGGAGCATAATGAAAAATAGAAAGTGTGAGTGACATGATGTGAGAGAGAAGCACTGGATGTTATTTTTTAAAATCGATTGTTTTGGTGGGTCTTTCCATTAGCGTAAAGTTTCTTTCAGTTCAGCTGTGCAAACAGCTGAGTGACTATGCACCTATCACTGTTCTGAGTGCTAAATGTTAGGAAAGGAAATGTAATAATAAAGGGGCACCTTCTAAAGAGGGCGGCCCAGGCACAACACAAGCACAGATAACAGGCACCTTCTACAGTCATGATTGTGCATATGTTGGTATTCAGTATGAATTATTTGGAGTAGAAAATAATGCTTAGGGTGTATCTTCAAGAATTTACAGGAGATAGGAAGGGTTAACCAAGAACTATTGGATGGAAAACGAGACAATGGTGAGGACTTTGACAACTGAGTAAATCAGTTTGATAACGTGAGATCCATTATTTTTTTCCAGATACACAATGTATGTATTCTCTATGCCATTAAGATCATCAATTTCTATTTATGGTATCATTAAAAATATCTTTGGCTTCCAAATCATTATTGGAGTCTCAGCCAACACCCCCCTCCTCCTCTTCTACACCTTCAGATTCCTTCTGAGATGTAGGCAGAAGCCCACCAACCTGACCACCAGTTATTTGGCCCTCGTGCACATACTAATGTTTCTCACAGTGCTGTACTTGTTGTATCCAGACCTCTTTGAGTTACTGAATATTTGGAATGACTTCAAATGTAAGGCATTTTTCTACATGAGCAAGGTCATGAGGAGCCTCTCTATCCTCATCACCTGCCTCCTGAGCTTGCTCCAGGCTGTCACCATCAGCCCTAGCACTTCCTGGCTGCTGAAGTTTAAATATAGATCCACAAAGTACATTGTCCACCTTTAATTCTTCCTGTGGTCCCTCAGTTTGTCTTTCAGCAGTAACCTCATCTTCTACACTGTCGCTTCGTCCAATGTGATCCAGTCCAATCTACTGCAAATCAGCAAGTTCTGCTTTCTGGACCCCATCAAATCCATCATCAACGTTCTGTTTTTCACTCTGAGGATATTCAAAGATGACTCCTTCATTGTAATCATGCTGCTCTCAAGTACACACATGGTGATTCTCTTGTTCAGGCATCAGAGGCATTCCCAGCTCCTTCACAGCACCAGCTTCTCCCTCAGAGTTTCCCCAGAGAAAAGGGCCACCCAGACCAACCTGCTGCTAGTGACTTTCTTTATGGTCATACACTGGGTGGACCTCATCATATCATCGTCCTCTGTCCTGCACAACCAGATGCTTGTGAGCAATGCCTATGCCACCGTCAGTCCTTCAGTGCTAATCAGTTCTGATAAAAGGATAATCAATATCTTGCAATATGTCAACTTAAAGTGCCATCAATTCTTAAGAAGATAGTGACAAAAAATATTTATTTAAAAAATAAATTACTCTGCTATTAGTTAAAATTTTTAAGTAGCACAGAATTTGCTATTTGATTTTATTAAATCATTTAGAATTATACGTTTATTATTTCTAAAAATTATAAAACTTATTAATTTCCTGTGTTCTGACTTCTATTAAGGATGTGAGATTTTGCTCTCATCTTTGTGGGTGTTATGCAATTTTGAGCCGGAACATCACTTGTAAAATTCTTAATCTTTTAGCAGGAAATGAAATGGGACATCTCTTGCAGAGTTAATCTTTTTAGTAAACTTAGTTAAGTTTTCTTCCTTCCTTTTTTTGGAAAATGGCTCCCTCCCTCAAATCCTGATAATTGCCCTGAGGACTCAGATCCTCTGGCTAGTAATAAGGGTCATCAGCCCATTTTTAAGTAGAAATGGTGTTAAACCAGATAGGGCCGTTACAGTCTGAGGGGGAGGAGACTTTAAACCAAAGGTCTTTCTTTTTGCTCTTTAAGAAATATATTAACCAAGTCTGTTTCCCTTTACTCACTTAATAGGAAAATCAATAATAGAAATTAATAGATGTATGATTTAAATAATGAATTTGTATTTTCTTTTCCTTGTCTAGGGACTAATGAGGCTGCACCTCAGCAAGAAACCTAAGACCCCACCCTGACTGAAGCAGAAAGAGAAAGAGCTCCATGAAACCCCTGTAGGCAGGGACTATGGCCATTCTCAGCAGATACAGAAGAAGAGACCTCCCATCTCTCAACATCCATACTAATAATAAGGAGGTTCATAGCTCTTAGAAAAAAAGATAGCAAAGATACCGAGGTCATCCTATCTTAGAAGGGGTCCGCCCTAATCCGCCCACAATTAAGCAAACCAGAAGGCATTTTTTTAACTCACACAAAGAAACCAGTAGGCAGAGATAGGTACCAGTTTATGCCAGTCACTCGCACCTGCTCAACAAAGACCCCAATGACCTTCAACTCACCTGAGTCTCATTATACCATCATTATAACATGATGCATATGCCCGGAAGTTTATTAATATCATTATAACAGACTGAATTGTGGGAACAAACATGCGCAGAAGGCAAAATAATGAATCACTGAGTCCTGTCAATCTTAGTTGTCAATCAAGGAAGCCCACCCGAAGTAACCACCTACAGCAAAAAGGGATAAAAACCCTAGTCTTTGTTACCAGGCCTTTTGAGCCATGCTCCTCTTGTTCAGGCCTGCTTCCACATCTGCAAGTGTACTTTCCTTTCTAATAAAACTTTTCTTTTCTACTATATTTGGTGTCTTGCTCAGTTCTTTGTTCGAGACATCAAGAACCTGGACAACGTGCTGGGAGAGGACCCCACCCTCTGGTAACAATTTGACTGTTATTTTTATTAAATAGCGGCTTTATGTCTTCAGATACAATAAATTTTGAAATCAAGGAATCACGGTATGTTTTAATTTTAGAAATTTGTAAATCCATGCTTCCTTGGTTATAATTTTTCATTATTTTTCATATTCTGGTAAAACCAAGAGATGTATTTTATTCCTCCTCATTTTAGTCTTTACATATATTAACTGTATTTATATTTTCAGTCATTGTATTCTCTGTTTACTCAATCTGGCTGTATTCATCATGCTCAATATTCCAGTTGACTAGTCCTATCGCCATCTCAGTCTAACTTAATGCTTAACTTATTTACTGTATATTAAATTGATTTATTATATTTTCAATAATTTATTCTCTATTTTTTTCAAATATAGTTTTTCAAACTGATGGTTTCTTGCTCTTTCTCCATTACTTTGTTTTCCTTTTTTCCATTGTTTTTACTCAAACATTTTAAACCTATCTCTAACATTTGCAATTTATGTGGCCTCCAATTTATTCTGACCCTGTTATGGCGCGAAAGATTCTAAGACCATTGGAGCCAAATGAGATTATTTGTGAGCTTTTATTAGCCGGCCGGCGACTGACTCTCTACCACGCAGGGTTAGCAGAGATCAGCCCCGAGCTTCCAGAGGAGGCAGCTTATAAAGCCTCCAACTACATCCTTGAATAAGCAGATTGCAAGAAGCAGAAGTTAGCCGTTAACATTTTGTACAAAGGTAAATGTATCCGGAGAACTCTCAGATCAAAAAGGGCCTAGTAGACAATTTTATCATCTGCACCTTGGAATGTTGCACTTCTCCTGGGGCTGGCGCCTGGAGATATCACCTCCCTGTAACTGAGTTACTGCTCTCCCTGGGAGCCGGCGCCACTTCCCCGAAACTGGAGAATTTCCACTTTTACAACCCTTTTCCCTGATAGCTTATTTCCTTAGTTGCTCTGAAATTATAATTTGATTCAGACACATGGGAGATACTGTATTTGGAACATCTCCAGTCAGTTTATTTTTTATTCCTATTTTTCTGCAGGTCAGTTGGACAGCCCACATCCATGTTTTCTTTGTGACCAGTCAGTAGCTCGAGTGTTAGTTTCTTAGTTTGATCGCTTTCATGGATTACTCATTTTCTTGATTCACTATGCCTGGGAAGTTCTTGTGTTTTTCTTTCAAATTTATCAGCATTTAAAAAACTCCTAACATCTTGACAGTTTTTTTTGTTGACCGTATTAGAGGATTTCACTATCTATAGTATTTTTTTCCCCAACAGCACAAATATCTGCAGTGTACAAGTGTAAAATGGGCATTTTGTGGCTAACAAGAGCGTCTCATGAGAAATAGAAAAGTTCTTCATGTGAAATCGCCTTCTCCCCAATTACCATTTTATTGCTATTACGGTTACCACTTGGTAGTAACTAGTATGAGGTGATATTTAATACATCAAAATTTATTTTATTGTTTACACAAATTTCTGGAAAGATATACTACAGTGCAGTGAACAATAATTACTATTTTACTACAGCACTGAGTTAATATTGGTAGAATTATTTTCCCAAATTCAAATCTCTTGGCACCACTTGCCATGTTTCCTCCTCAGCACCTGCCCAACTCTGTAATAATAATCTCAGTTTATATTTTTCACTAGATCTGAATTTAGTTAAGAGTTAAATAAATTTTCATGTAACTAGACATTACTTGTTGGTTACACTTCAATTTATAGCTTCTGCTGTTGTTTCACAGTAAATCTGACAGGTTGAATTTCTGCTTTCATGAAGTTAATGACATTTTTGGCCTAAAACTACTTTCCTCTAATGTTGGAAATTAATGTCTATTAGTTATTTACTGTTGACGAAGGCTGCCATTTGTTTCTATGCTTAATAAGTCATACTTTGAAATAAAGTTATATAACATGGTCATTTATTTGTTGTATTCCAAAACATTTGATACCTATAGGATTGCAAATGTGTCAGATTTGCCTTTCTATCAACATCAAACCGATATTACAAGAAATGCTAGAGAGACTTCAAGAAGAAGATGAAAATAATATGAATAATAAAATAGCAATAACTACGTATCAATAATTACTTTAAATGTAAATGGATAAATGCTTCAATGAAAAGATAGCGTAGCTGTAAAACTGAAAGCAACCAAGAAACAAGACAAAGACTCATGGACATAGACAACAATTTAGTGGTCACCAGAGGGAAGTGAGGGAGTGGCGAGGTAGATAGGGGGAAATGGGATCAAATATATGGTAACAGACAGAGATTTGACTTTGGGTGGTGAACACGATACAATATACATGTGATATTGAATTGTACACTTAAAACCTATGTAATTGTATTAACCAATGTCACCCAATTTAATAAATTTAATAAACTTAAAAAAGTCACTTGCATTTTTATATACCGACAATGAGCAATCTGAAAATTAAATTATGAAAGCAATTCATTTATAATAGTTTAAAAGATAAAAAACATTTAGGAATAAATGTAACAAAAATGTGCAAGTCTTTTACACTGAAAAAATGCTGAAAGAAATCAAAGAATAATGAAAAGACATTTAATGCTCAAAGATAAGACTATTTAATGTTAAGATCACAATATTCCACAAACTCATCCAAAATTTCAATGCAACACCTTCAAGTTCTCAACTCTCATTTTACAGAAATTCACAAGCTCACTCTGCAAATCATATGGAAATACAAATGAAACTACTACCTCTGACAATCTAAAACAATTGGATGACTCGCACTTCCCAATAACACATCTTATAAAGCGGCAATAATCAAGATAGTGTGACAGAGGTCAATGAAACAGATTTGAGAGCTCAGTAGTAAACATTGTTATTCATGGTAAATTAATTTTGATAAAGATGCCAAGAAATTTAAATAGGAAAAGAAGGATCTTTTCAATCAATGGTGCTTGAGAAAATAGGTAACCACATACAAAAGGTTGAGGTTTGATATCTAATAAAAATTATACAAAAAATACTCAGAATAGATTGATACTCAAATGGCATAGCTATGCCTATAAAATCTTTGGGAAAAACTGGAGTAAAATTTTGCGATATTAGATTAAATAATGATTTCTTACAACTGAGAAAAATTTTTTGATGAATTTCACTTTTTCAAATTTAACAAAAAAGCCTTTTCATTCTCACAACACCATTAAGAAAATGAAAAGACAAGTAAGTGAATGGGATAAAATATTTCAAGTTACATAACTTAAGATGTATCAGAATATATTTTTTTAAAAAGCTTTGACAGGTCAAAAATAAAAAGACGACTGACCAACTTGAAAGATAAAAGAAGACCTAGGTAAACACTTTTTACAAAGAAGATATACAAATTGACAATAAGCACGTGAAAATATGTATAAAATATTTAGTCTTGGGGAAATGCAAACTGAAAGCACAATGAGATGAAAATATGACTACAACAAAGAAATAATAGCAAAAATGAGGAGACTATAGAAACCCCATATGCAGAAAGCAATATAAAGTAATACCACTTTATAAAACAATTTGGTAGTCCCTCAAAATGTCATACAGAGAACAACCATACGATTCAGAAATTACACTCCTAGGTATGTACTCTGAAGAAACAAAAACTTATGACCATGCAA